GTTTAAACGCACTCACTTCAAAATTCTACCTCCGTTTATTTTTTAACTTACCCACTTTCAAAATCACTCTAAAACCCAAAATGTTCTATTGAACTAGTTTTCGAGCCACTTTATATTTCGATAGTTTTGAAGTAAAGTGTATACTTTTATATTTTGTTGTTATTTGCTATATTTAATTTTGTTCTAGATCATTAGACACAATGTAATTTTAAATCGAATTCTTGAAATATTTTTTTCTACCTTCTTTTATACTAAAGTCTCAGTATTGCAAATTGTAGATGAGATTATTTTTTCTTTAAATCCAAAGTTCAGCTCCTTTCAATATTAAGTATGCCCACTTAACAAAAGGGTTTTTAACTATCAACCCAAGATTTTGCCCTATTTATTGTAAACTCATCCATTTTCAAAATTATCTTCAAACACAAAAAAATTCCACCGATTATGTTTATTAAATCAACTTTGTATTTCAACAGCTTTTTATACAGTATCAGTGGTAATATTTGTGCTGTAACTTGTTATATTTTTGTTCTAATTAGTTAGGTATGCATGGTATTTTAATGCAAATGCTTAAACCATTAGTTTTTTTGTTTTTCATACTGATGTAATGTAGGGCAATTTTTCTTATAAACCCAAAGTTTTACCATATTTATTTTAAAGTCATCCATTTCCACACACAAAGAAAAAAGAATTTTTTTTGTTTATAAATCCAAAAATATACCCCTACTTATTTTTAAGTACACCCGCTTCCGAAAACATTGTTAGGCAAAAATCACTAGTAGAAAAACACACAATCAAGACGGAAAAACCGTCTACGTTGCCCATAATTCCGTCTAAGCAGACCAACCTAGATGGAAATCCATCTAGAATATTTCCTTTTAGGTTGACTCAACCTAGATGGAATTCCGTCTACGTTAATCTAACTAGACGGAAGTCAAACTAGACAGAATTCAAAATTCCGTCTAAGCTACAACCTAGACGGAAATTCCGTCTAGCAAGCAACCTAAACGGATTTTCCATCTAGGTTGCTTTCTAAATACAATGGTTGCATCCTAGACAGAATGGATTTACTATCTAGGTTGCAACCTAGACGGATTTCTGTCTAGGAAGCAACCTAGATGGAAAATCCGTCTAGGTTGCTTCCTAGACGGGATTTCTGTCTACGTTGCAACTTAGATAAAAATCTAGTCTATGAAGCAACCTAGACGAAAATTCCTTTCAGGTTTGTATATTTTACTAAAAATTTTAAAAATATTTGATTCCCTGTACATTTTATATTAATTTGATATACACATCAATACACATTTCATGTACATTTTACACTCACATCCAATCAAATATAATACACATAATCAATATTTCAATTCAATATACACATCTAACAATCCAATCCAACATCTATTTCGGCGAAAAATCTATTTTACTAGAATATGTACAACAGATACACTACCAATTCTAAGTCCATAGAGCACTAGATGAAAAAAATAGATTATTCTTATAGATAAAAAAACCATCAAGTCCATAAAATATATAAAAACCTCACATCTCGTCATTGGCGGCGAACACCACTGCTACTACCTCTAATATCTCCAACCTGAAGATCAAATTGATTATATTTTAAAATCATATGAAATTTGATAATATGTCAAATATAAAGATTTTTTATATATTAGTCCCTTAAATCTTCAATTTAGCATTAGTTCCTTAGGATTTTCACTTTCATGGGAATAATATGCAACTATTGAATATTCTTGGGGACCAATATGCAATAGCATTAGTTCCTTAGTATTTACACTTTTACAGAAATAATATGCAACTATAGAATATTTTTGGGACCAAGATGTAATTTTCTATATTTAGGAAGTAATATGTAATTACTGAAGATTTAATGGACTCATATGCATAATAACATAATATTAACACGAAAATAAGATACATGTGCGCTGCTCTGCCTAAAGCCGACGTTACCGGTGCCCAAGTTCAAAAGTGGTATAACATCCAAATAGATGAGTAGGAATCATATCAGCCAAGCAATTTATGAAGTGGGTCATGACTTCATCCATCATGCAGGCCCTCGTTACAGCGCTAGTCAACTCTTTAGTCATCCGAACATGCAGTTTTGAGTCAATCTTTCCACACAAATAAGTTGAGACACATAGAACAAATGGCATAGCAGAAATATTGATTGAATATGATGTTGATACTTGATACTGTATATGAGGGTGGAGATCCATCTGTCACAATCCGTCAAGAAGAGGATTCCTAGGGTTCGCCCCAACAACACTAGAGCAATCGTTGGTGCAACACAAGAGATGGAGCGACGTAATTTCCAAATATTACTCTCTAAGCAGTGCTCCTTCATTCGAGGCTATGGGAAAATTAATATAGGACTCCAAATAGCCTACCGCATCTATGGATTGTGGGCTCCATACTCCTTGCCGACACTTCACTATACCTCATAACCCCTCCTCTTTGCCTCCTCAAAGGAATGTCTTTATACCCAAAGGTATGTGAAGATAAACACCAACCCGGCCTCTAGCTCTTCTTTATTAGTTTCCACCTGATGCAATATATTATTAATGACTATCGGGTATCTAGTCCTTGGTTTACAGATTTCGTCTATGTAATCATCGCAAATAACATATACAGGATAGCTGAACCCTTAGTGTGTGGAGATACGTTTTTTGGATGGTGGAACTCGCAAAGAATGTGGGTCTATAGAAGATTGACCTCCTTCCTATATGGAGCCCCAAGTTGTCATTTACAATCACAGCAAAGGTCAGTGATGGGGATGAGAGCAAGAGGTATGAGAACGAGGTCATGGAATTTGGATCTTCATCTCCTATGTTTACAATCATAGCAACAATCGCAATGCGCGCTCAACCTTGGTTGTTTGTTGGGTGGATTGATGCGTCTACTGGTTTATGAAGGGGTTGCAGGGCTGAATGACTACTATTTTGCACAATTGGTCCTTTGTGGATTGATGGTTGCAATCAATGCGCCTGTTTATGGGGCAATGTTCTTTGGGAAGGACAAGGGAAGAATTCCTCCTTCGACCACGTTAGCCTCTCTTTGTTTAGCAATAGTAACTTGCCGTGTGCACATACTTTGAGTATCAGGTAACAAGGCTCGGACACAGAAGAGATCAGGAGGTGATCTTTTCTGTCAACTTCTTCCTAACTGACAGTATCCGAGCTCTTAAGTGAGTGTTCATTAAGGCTGAATAGGAGATGGATTTCTGTCTGTACTGGTAAGTTTTTCTTCGTGTGCATTGTATTTTGAGGAGGTGGAAAAACTGTAATATATGAAAACCTATTTCTCCTCAGGTCTATGTTGCCCAAATCCACTAATGTTTTGACTAAGATAAGTAATAATTCTAAACATGCATATATAACTGGAAATGAGTTTTTTCGTCTTAATTTTTTCCTTTTTTTTCCCTATTAATTATACAGATCAAGGCTGATTCATTGAGATAATGAGAAGGAAAAAGTGGGGGAAAAAAGGACAGCAGAACATCCAAAAAAACACAACAAATTAGCGAGTCAAATTTGATGCATAAGTAAAGAAATCGTTAGTTGGATAAATTTGCTCAAGGGACAAAGTGATGAACACGGATTAAATTGTCCCATACATGCTACGAAATGGCTACAAAATGACTCGATTTATTAAATGTGTCAGGCCTCTGAAACCATTTGCTTACCTCTCACATTAACTCCAAAATATAATAAATGCAAATAATTAAGCATAAAATATATGAGTGAGGTCAAGATAAACAAGAGGGCCAAGAAATGCAGCCTCCTCTTTCCTATTCTTCTTTTAAGAAAATCAATAAGGTAACACATTCATTGGAAATACACTTCTAAATTCAAACAAATGACTTGTGAATGAAAAGGACGTGCAGAATCTGGCACAAAATGTTTAGACTTGTGCATACTTAATCAAAGATATATTGATCTTGTTCCTGTACACAAGGGAAATACCTAGCAATTCAATTAGCATCCTAATGAAGTAACAACCCAAGCTTGCGATATGAAAGAACAATATATACTAGAATAGCCCATGCACAAGACAAAGCCCTTTCGGTCATGTAGTGTTTTAACAATCGCACCAGGCAACAATAAAAGTTCTTTTACATAATTATTCCCCCAAATTTTTCATATTTTGAAATTAGTCCCCCGAATCTTCACATCTTGAAATCAGTCCACCAAACCATTTAAGTGATCATTTGACATTAGTCCCACTTGTGGGATGTTGATTTGAAAATTTGGGAATACTCTATTATCTTTACATTCTTGAGCGTAATACCGGTTATACCCTTATTCATTCCCATGTAAACCCCAAAAAAATTCCAAAGGGGCACAAATTGAGGAAGATTTTGAAACTGGTGTACTTAAAATCATTGTTTTTTAACATGATTTTGCTGGGTTTTGGTATTGAATTTGGTTGATTACGATACTTTGGTAGCTGTGCGTTCCTGGTTAACCACCGATCTAACCATGGATAAGAATTTTAATGTAAATGTAACAAAGGACTAAATTCAAAACACTTAAAAGTTTTGGGGGACTGATGTAAAAAAAGATAAATTTGTATATATATAAATTTTTTGAAGTATAACTTGGATATATTAAAACAGCCCACGACCCACAGTGGTTTTCTCTGTCTACTCCAAAGATGGTTCAAATCCCTTTGCTCATCCCCCAAAGTGCTCGGCATCAAGGTTCATTCAAGACTTATCCTCCATCAACTCCACTTTTTTCAGCTTGGTTAAATGGAAAACTGAGGATGGCAAAACTGGTAGCTTTTGGCACGATAAATGGTCTGGGACAAACTCCCTCAGCAGCTTATTTCCAAAAGCTTACCAGTTAGCCCTATCTCAGTTCTGTTGTATCAGATCTCAGGGCAGAATGATCAACCATTCATGGAACTGGCATCCCCTTATCAGAAGAGGTATATCGCCTTCAGAAAGGTCTGATCAAAACCTTCTCCTTACTCATTTAACTTCTTCAAATATCAATATCTCTTTTGCTCCAGACGAGCTTTTGTGGACCCTTCTTCCATCGGTGATTTACTCAGTTAAATCATACTACTCCCTTGTCAACTCAGGGGGTATTAAATCCAAGTTCTATAGCATGATTTGGAGATCTTCCATCCCTAATAAGGTTAAAGTTCTATTCTGGATCATCACAAATAAGAAGTTAAATACGAAGGCAAATTTGATTATTAAGGGCTGGACAGGTGATCCAAGATGCTCCTTCTGTTTATCTGGTGTTGAAACTCACGATCATCTGTTTACCAAATGCTCATTTGCACGAGCTATCTGGTCATACATCTTCCCCTCTACTCCCACAAACAGTTGGCCTCAGACGGTTGAGGAGTTGATATTTTTTCATAAATCCACCATTCTTAACAAGGATGCTAAAATCATTTGGAAGATTCTGTTGCCTTGTACTTGCTGGTGGATTTGGTTTAGTAGAAATGTACTCATTTTCAAGGATGATCAACCTGATCCTCTACTTACTGCTTCTAATATAGGGAGATATACTATATTTTGGGCAGGTGCTGCGGATGAGAGGCTGGAAAGGAGACTTCGCAGGGCTGCTTTAAGCATTGGACTTCAGGAGCTTGCAAACAAGAGTGCTGATGCCACTGGGGATAGCTTCCCCCATGCCCTCTAAACTTTCTCTATTCACTATTTTGCTGGTGAAGATACATTACCTTTTGATGGTTATCTGTTGATGTTTTGTCCCCTAATCTAAGCTGTTATGTTTCCAAGTATGTGTTTAGCGAACTCTAGTATGTAAGTATGTAATCTGTGCCGTCTAGATGAAGTTCCGCTGTGGGTCCAGTTTGGTAGGTGACGACATAGGTCCGCTCCTTACCTGCTTCACCCCAAGTGGCTCTTCATCTAGTTGTGATGTTTTTTGTTTATTAATAAAATCCTTATATGAGCAGGGCTTCTAACCCTGCTTTTTCAGCTCAAAAAATGATCCCCTTGCTAGCCCCCCACCCAAAAAAACACACAGCTAGATGGAGAAAAAAAACACAATAACCAGGTGCCAAAAAAATCTACAGTTAATCTAGATTTTGCTCAATTTGCTTGGTCTACCGACTTCCTGTCAAACTTAAATGGTCACTTTTAATGGTTGAACACATATTAATTTCAAAACAAGGAATTCCAACATATATATTATTCTAAAAACTATGTCTTGAGGTGAATGAAATTAGATCACATGCTAAATCCACTTGTGCTCCCGCATGTTCATAGAAAGAAATTCAGAAGATAGAATATGTCATTCCCATATAGGATCATAAACATAGGGGGATGCTGATTATGAGAATGAAAAAAAAAAAAGACAACCATTCACCAACATAGTATAGAACACTCCAATATCCACACCTTTTCTCGGGACAGAAGTATATAAAACATTACATAAGCATAAGATACTGAGATAGAGGACTGTATCTTAATAAACTTCCTTCCAAATGCAACAAGAGGTGAATGAATTTGCTACTTCTCTTTCATGGACACCGGCATGCAAATTTGACCGGTGACCACCGCTAGACAGCT